ACAAGAGTGAACATGTGAGTAGGATTGCTTCAACAAACACCACTTTTACTGCTTTATCACTAATTTTGAACTCATAAAATGATTGCTTATACACTCTGGATTACTAGTAGAGTATTATCTATCATGATGGACTTGAATTTGTTGTGAAATTTTTAATGTTTTTTGGAGGACGATCTGTAGGCTGATCATCAAGTTTGGTTAAGCACCCATTGTTTGTACAAGCACAAGAAACACCAAGCTGACAGGAAGTTCTTTGTTTCAAGTAAGTGAGGCCTAGCTTAAACAATGCCATCTCAACAGAAAAAGCAGGCTTTTAAGCCTTCTACACCAAGCTTGGATATAACAGATGATGGGAATAGTAGTATTAATTCAAGTCCTAGCCCTAAAAGTAAGACGGTAACAACTTCAAGAATCACATGTGTTAAGCAATGCCAACTGAATCATGTCAATAAAGACAATCCACTTGAATGTTCGTTATGTCAGGAACAGTTTCATAGAATTTGTTTGAAGATTAAATCTACAACTAGTCCTAGAGTCTGGCTTTGTCCCCACTGCAAGGACATTCCTGGAACAATCAAAGCTATTCTACAAACTAATGCTGATCAAGAGTGTCTAATAGTTGACATGAGTCAAGAAATCACTTCACTAACAACACTAATCAATGAACAAAGGAAAATGATAGAAAACCTTAAAGACACACTTACGGATGTAATGGCCCAACAGAAACAAAATAGCCATGCTATCCCAGAAACATGTAATGTTGCGAAAGATAAACCTAAGGAGGAAACCAACAACTCAACTCTCATCATTGGCGATTCCATCATTAGGGACATACATGAACGTGGGTTAAAAAACACCAAAGTGACATGTCTACGAGGCAGCAAGATTAATGAAATTAAGAGAACCCTTGCAAATGAAACGCAAGCTTACGGCACAGTCATCATACATGCTGGAACCAACAATTGCACCTCTGAGGAAAGCCTTACAACAGGTATTGCAGATTACGAGAGTATGGTGAAAGAAATAAAATCAAAATCACCATCGTCAAATGTCATCTTGTCAACGTTGTGTCCAAGAATGGACAAACAAGATAACACAAACATGGTAGATTCTTTCAACAAGAACATTAAACGTATCGCCAACTCATGTAATTGTCAGGTTGTTGATAATGATCAAACATTTCTACTCAGAAATGGGACAATCTCGCAATCAAATCTGAATGGAGGAGGTCTCCATCTATCAAGAGAAGGGACTCGGTTATTATTGAATAACTTAAATGCGATCCATCCGGTTCTGAAAAACCCACTTCGACAAAATCGTGGGAATCAAAGCGGCACCCATACAAGATGGCAAAGTAACAAAACTAGAAATCAGACCAAGAGAAACCAGCAATTTAATGCGACAAGGCATTACTCAAGCAAGTACACCAACCATTATAACTACCAAGAATCAGCCGATCCAACATACAGTGCGTATTATAACCAGTTTCAACCGACAACAAGCTTACGCAGGACAAGTCAATTAGCGCACAGAGAATAGGACAACGCCAGCAATGCAGACTATATAGAACTTTCAAACTATTACAATACTCTCTCGGATGAACTTAAAGATTCTACCCATGGTAAACATAATGATGAACCAGTAATAAACCAAGCATCAGTAAGTGGTAAGAAGGTTAAAAGGCTTCGTCATCGTAGAGGAGGAAAAAATAAACTAAATATTCATTGTGCTAATAATAATTTAAATATCTGTTTTAATAATGTTAATCATTTAAGTAAATATAGATTGTATGAAATTAAAACTTTTTTATACAATAATAAAATTGATGTACTGGGGGTTGCAGAAACATGTTTTAAAAACAATAATGACAACATTATAAAAAATTATATATGGGTTGGAAAGCAAAGAAGGGGGAAAGGGGGAGGTGGGATTGGTGTCTTAATCTCAGATAAAATTAGACTTATATGTGATGACTATCTTAATTGTAAGGATGATGAATTTGAACGCCTATGGGTTAAAATTAGTGTAGGTGTCAATACACCTATTTATATTTGTGTTGCTTATTTTCCTGTTCAAGGAACTAACAACGAATTAACCGATGATTTATATGCCCAATTACTCTCTGAAATACTTAAAATTGAATCAATGGAGGACGATCCACTTATACTGTTGATGGGAGATTTCAATGCGCGAATTGGCAATAAAATACCCAATGGGGACCCAATACTTAACACAAATGGTGGAAGACTTCTTGACTTTAAAGAAAATTCAAACTTAACAATTCTTAACTGTACTATTTATTGTGAGGGTAAAATAACTTGGAGTAGAAATAAACAACAAAGCACAATAGACTATCTTTTATGCCTGTCTCTTATACACATCTAGATGTGTATAAGAGACAGCATTATATACAATCAACAACAAGAGTGAACATGTGAGTAGGATTGCTTCAACAAACACCACTTTTACTGCTTTATCACTAATTTTGAACTCATAAAATGATTGCTTATACACTCTGGATTACTAGTAGAGTATTATCTATCATGATGGACTTGAATTTGTTGTGAAATTTTTAATGTTTTTTGGAGGACGATCTGTAGGCTGATCATCAAGTTTGGTTAAGCACCCATTGTTTGTACAAGCACAAGAAACACCAAGCTGACAGGAAGTTCTTTGTTTCAAGTAAGTGAGGCCTAGCTTAAACAATGCCATCTCAACAGAAAAAGCAGGCTTTTAAGCCTTCTACACCAAGCTTGGATATAACAGATGATGGGAATAGTAGTAAGATGTGTATAAGAGACAGGTGCACACGCACGTCAAGGAATCTTAAATATTTAAATTTAAACTAGTCCTAAGAGATCTTAGCAACCAGTATACTTTTGACAAAGTAACGACAAAATTATCATTACTTAGAGGAGTTGGGGGAGAAAATGTAGGCCTATTAAAATAAGATGTAAAATAAAATGCACAGCTTTCTCGCCCGCTCCCTCTGGTGCAGTATAATCCCAATAGGCCTACCACATGTTTCGACTTAATTTTGCGACTCCTCTCGTATACGACTATTGAATTTCATGCTCGCTGAAATTTTTTTAACTTATGGATGGTTTTTTGTGGGGTTTTTACCAGCAAATACCATTAACCGAAGGATTTATAATAATTATTATAATTATAATAATAATTATAATAATAATAATAATAATAATAATTATAATAATAATAATAATAATAATAATAATAATAATAATAATATAATTATTATTATTATTATTATTATTATTAACATGTTTAGGAACGTAGCTTAAAACATCCAAAGGCATTGGTAACATTTCTAGATTAGCCATTTTACCCAATAACATCCTCCGTATTCTTTAATTCTCCCTCATCCTTCCTTATCTGAGCTACTGTAATATTGCCTGGGCCAATACATATTTTTATCCAATATGAACAACTCCAAATTCTCCAAAAGAAGGCTATCAGTATCATAGATGGCGCACTACCACTGTCTCATTCTTCTCATTTATTTCCAAATTGTACCTCCTCAAACTGATTGACATTATTCTTGTCCAGCAAAATAAATTTATTTTCTCTGCTATGTAATCTCCCAAAAAATGTATGCAATATATTTATTCACGATTACTATACTCATAATTTACCCACTCGATGTAAAACTCATATTCACATCCATAACACTAATTATTTTCAACATAATATTAGATCGGGCCCTACAATGAGCAACAATCGCCCTCCCCTAATTCCAAGTGCTGTTCCTCTAAGAACATAAAAAAATGAAACTTCATCTAATGTTAAATTAATTATCCTCGGTCATGATTCGATATGTTCTGTTTTAACATGAGCTTCAGTTGTTTGTTTGTTTATTTATTTATTTTTATATTTCCATTTTTGTTTATTTGGCTCTTTACTTATTTGTTTATTTGTTTTGTCATTGATTTTCTTCTTTTATGTTTGTATCGTCTTTTATTTCCTTTAAGGCATGTCCATCACTAGATCTTTGCCTTCTCGGGATCATGCCTTCTTTCATAGCTTTTTACGTTTTTATTTTAAACCATTGTATTTTATATTTTGTGTGTTATATGTAAATAAAATAAAATGCCTTTTGAAATTGAAAATTGATATTGAAGTTAATCTTTGCCTTCTCAAGATTATGCCTTCTTCCCAGTGGCGGAAAATTATACAGTGAACTTTCCCCGAGAGGAAAAGATGAATGACTATAACAAGTTTGAAATTTAACACTATGGTCCTTTTCGCATTTTTGGGGGTGGTATTGGTGTGGGTGTATGGCACCCATTACAATTGGCACCCACACCCCAGGACACGGGCCTGACGTATCTGTATTATAGAAGAGATTTATCTGGGAAGTAAAAAACAAGAGGCGCATGATAATCATAACAAATCTATCGTAGCCTACCTTTAAAATAATTTATCGTCATGAGAGCCTACATTACACGAATAGCCTTTGAACTAATCGAGCTGATTTAATAGTTCTGCACGTTTGCCCGTTGTGTAGGTTAAGACTATTTCTTCGTCGCCTGGCTACAAATAAATCTTCCATATAAAATAAAAATCTTGTTGCTGTGTGTGCATTCAGTGGGCGGGGCAAAAATGCGGGAAACACATTGTTTTTGACATATTTACTGATTTTTTGGAGGGGAGGGGGGTTTGTTTTTTTTTTTGTTTTTTGTTTTTTTTACTCTAAATGATGACCAGACAAAGAATTACAAAGATTACAATGTACAGACGTCCAATTGGAGACCCCTCTAATTCGAGACCAATTTGTCTAAGAACGAAATAACCAGGGGTGGCGCCAGTGGAGGCCGTCGGGAAAATCCTGGCGCCACCCCTGGAAATAACAATCATCAACCTTTTAACACAAAGATAGACCGAACACCAAGCCCACCCCAAATTTTCAGGTCCAAAGTGTCTCGAACTGTTTTTTGTTACGCATGCGGTTGTTCCATCATTATTTTGTTTAGTGCTTTGACGAGAGAGGGCAGTATGTGTTTTTATTGAACGGCGGCAAATACAAAACAAATGGTTTGAGTTTTTGGTAAGTATTTCTTCAGTTATACAGTAATTGCTCATTTCTGTCACTCTTTCTATAATTATTGATATATAAACGTGATAAGGTCAAAAAGACAGTCCTATAATATACAGATATCATACAAATTTAATTGAATTGGGCCAGTTTTTTAATCCTCCTAGCTAGGCTTAGGCTAGCTAGGCCTGCCGCCTAAAAGACAAGACAGTCCTAGGCCCACTGCTTTGGCTTCCCCCTGTTCTGTCATTCACTGACCTATGGGCCTAGCTGGGCTAGCCTCCTATGTATAATTACGGATCCAACGCCTCTGGTTTAGAGTTAGACTAGGCTCAAGACTAGTTCGTTGATGTGTGTCTCATAATCGAGAGTGAAATTATAATTATGGGTCATTCTTCAGTAAAGTGCCATTTTCCAGTCCCTCTGTTTTAATGTAGTATAAATTTTAAGATATTTTTTTTAGGAAATTTTATTTTTATTGCGTTAATGTAATAACGTCATAGTTTGTAAAATAAATAACTTAAATAAATAACTATACCACAAAAAGGTGATTATAATAAATGTCTTACAAATGTAAAATTAAAAATTTCTTAAAAATAACTATAAAATTTGACTTTTTTAGACTAAAAAAGTTTGTCCCTGAATTGTCATCATCTCCGTCACAGTACTTTAAAATGCCATTACAGTTACTGTTAGCAAAATGACATAACACGTTATGGATCAAACCATTTTGGTTGAAGGGGACCATACAGTAAGAAACAGTCCATTCTTGTACAGTTAAACCACCTATAGCTGAAGAATTCATGCATTTCTAATAACAACCAGAAAAGTAACTTTATTCAGCATCATCTCCGAACGCTTCAGAGTATGCTTTATATTATTTTTTTAGAAAAAAATAATTGTATATATGATCAGAACTGTGTCATTTTCAAAGTGCATGACATTCACCTTGTAACACACTGCATATGACACTATATGATTCCTCATCTCTGTCACAGTCATCTCCATTACCATTTCACTGTGATGGAGATGATGACTTGATATTTTCTTTCCTCAAAAACGAATATGAAATAAAAATGATAATTGATCTGGTTTAATGTTAAAATTGAATGCTTAAATAAATGTTTGAAATGCCCTAATATTGTGCCGAATGTTTATTATAGTTGTTATACGGCATAATGGTGACATGTGTAATAAAAGAATTACAGAGGTGAAACTTTTTTTTCCATGATTTCTAAACTTCTTAAATGGCACATTAGCGAAGAATTACCCTTATACAGGGCATTATAGGCCAGGCCTAGCCTAGTCTCTACATGACTAAATGCAAAGTAAATTTGAGGAAGTAGGCCTAGTCCTACACCCAGGCATTGCCTTGGATATACAGATCACTTCAGTCGCGCTTCATTTCGGTTGCGGTTTATTTCGAACAAATATATGGCGCACCAATGGAGTAACGAAAATGCAAAATCAAATATGCCTATTCATTCGTCATTTGGTTTATCATAGGTTTTTTTATTTTACATTTTGTTTCTTTCTATTAATAACAACATATTTAAAATCAAATAACTAAAACAAAATTTGAATCAATGTCATAATGAAATAGAATTGGTATGATGACATGTATGCTCTTAGTCTTACATTTTCATATTATACTCATTTTGGTTCTACATAAAATTATAGATTACTCAATTAATTTATGAAATATATGCCTATAATATTCGTTAATCGGTTTTCCATACATTTTTTTCTTATTTTCGTTTTATTGTGTTTTCATCAACAGCAGCATATTATGCCCCCGACATAATTAGAAATGCAACAAACAAAAAAACTAAAATATAAATATTCTATATTCCATTTATTTTTATAACACTTCATGTTACATTACTAAACTAATAGCATACTTAAACTCCATTTAAATGTAATTACATTATTGTATAATAATTATTGTATAATAAAATATAAAAATAATAAGTATTTTATACTGTAATATAATAAAGCATCGTATCGTAACTAAAAATACATTTGTATCCATTCGATTCACGTATTTATATAGGCCTACATTATCAGCTTCATATACTGTATAGGACTATAAAAACTAGAACGAACGAACTAAAACAAACTAGAAAAAAGGAGTTAACACAACATGAATTAATTGACATAAATACATCTTATGTAGAAGCAAAATAGCTATACCGGGTAGTATATGAAAAAGTAACAAAAAGAAGAACTATACATACATACCAAATTTTAGTATTCATTTTATATGCTGCTAAATATGTTGTTATAGAAAGATAACTAAACGAATATAAAAACCGTCCATAAAAGTATAAGTATGTTATTAATGAAAACACAAACAATATGATTAAAAGTTTGACTTTAATAAATATATACTGTTATGGTTAATGAAAACACAACAAAAACGAAAAATAACTTATGAAAACTAATTGACGAACAACCAAATGATGATAATATAGTCACACATCATATATTGCTTTTAAAATGTTGTTATTAGTAGAAAGATTATAAAACAAAAACAAAAAAGAAACGTTAGATAAACCGATTGACGAGCTTATAATAATATATGGACAGTGTGTTATTAGATTCCATTGATGCTCAATATATCTGTTCAAAATAAAGCGCGACCTACTGTAAATGAAGTGCGCCCGAAACGAAGTGCGACCGAAATGATCTGTATTCATTACATACTACCAGTAGGCTAGGCCCTGAAGGAGACGTTAGGCTTAGGCTAGGCTTAACACAAAACGAGTAGAAAATAAGTTGTTATTTTGTCATTGTTATTCTTTGTAAAATAGCCTAGGCCTAGTAAATACTGGGTTTTTAATGTGCATTTAGTTTTTGTAACCATTTTGTTGTGTATTGTACAAACAGTTTTAGCCTTGTGCTACTGTTTTTGTATATTTTAAATAATAAATAGGAAGATAAGATAAATGTTTTCTTTTCTCTAATCCCCAGGTTCATAAGATGGAGCAAGAAAATGTGTTCAAAAAGCTGCGCCATCTAGCAGCCAAAGTAGAGAAAGATAGCAAGCACATCGAGACGTGTATTAACATGCCATCTCACATGCGTCCAGGGGCTAGATCAGCTGAACTCATTCTCAAAGAACTTCAATGCAACGTACAAACTATGACGGTATGACTTTCAGGTTTTAAGAATTTTACAATTGATAATGGTTAGGCTTTAAAAATATGAATGTCAAACTTAAAGAGCTCAATCACCAAGCACATAGAGGCTTTTTACATAATGCGCTATGCAAATCCAACTATTCAATTATCGATATTTTTGCACACCCTGACAAAGCAAGCGGTTTCTCTGTTGTTGGCAAATGATTTATACTCTTTTAGTCCATTAACTAAAAAAGTGAAAAAAGAAACCCTACTGCCATTTTGAATACTGCCACTTTTACTGCCACTAAATAACTAATGCTACCTGTACTTTCAACGTTGTTATTTATTTTTTATTTGTATTTTTGGAATTATAATAGATTATTTTATGGCATACCAACTTTGAGGTTAAACCCACCCACGCTACTATTATTATTAGAATGACATTTCATTTAAGAGTTTGTATACTTTTTAAATAAAAACAATATCAAGATTCTTCGATTAGGAGCCAAAGGATCACTGTGCTATTACTAATTGATTAAGTTGTGTTCTTAGTTACAAGCCCAGAATGATTTGAAGGAATTGCAAGGGCAGGTTTCCTTTAGGAATCTCCTAGATAATGTGCAGATTGTTGCAGATCTGACCAAAGAAAGGTTACATCTATTGGACGAGAACTTACAAAAGTATGGTTACAAGAAAGCAGAGTCCATAGAAGCCAATAGCAATAATCAAGGTAGGCCCACTTTTGTTATCACCTGTTATGAAAAAATATTATATAGGTACTGTACATAACATACAGTACCTTAGTACTGCACTCTGAATTCAATTTAGTATCGTGTACATTTGAGGAGGTAAACACTTTGTTGCCCAAGGTTGATGGTCACAAATCTTGAAAATCTATGGGTGGATACATTTTTTGGGTGAAGTGGCTGGAAGAGCTCAAAACACCAATATAATGTTTTAAAAGGATACTTTAAAGCATTAATATTATGGTACCTACCTTAATCATGGATTTTAGCCCTGTGGTTACCATTTTTAACCAACCATTGCAACTAAAGTGTACTGAATGAGTGATGGTTAGCAGTGAACCCCAGAGTAAGGCATACTGTAGGCCTATAGTATTGAAAAAAATGTAAAAAACATCACTGGGCTTGAGCAGGTTAACCGTTTGTTTGGTTTTTTTTTTTTTTTTTATTTGGCCGGGTCATGGATAAATAAAATTCCCTTATGGCTGGATATAGACATTCAACATACCAAAGATTTATTTTAATATTGTACTATGTAACTGCAGATTCAACAGATTATGTCGAAGACAAGGAAAACCAAGGACCTGATGAGGAACCCATGCAGCAATATCCGTATCCTTTAATCTTAATGCTCTATAAAACTAAATGCCTTTTTACGTTTTCTATATTTTTGAAGTATATATAAGAGTGGTGGGGAGATGAATACTTGAGCTATGCTCGTACAAGAAACTGGCCACCTTTATAATGAAAAAATAGATCTTAAAAATGTAGGAAAAAGAAATAGAAAAATATTAAGTAAATAAAAAAAAAACTATTTATGTATTAATTGATGGGAATTCTTTCTCATTCCAATTTAATTTCAGGGCTCTTGTCTGCACTATCTTTGTTTTCATTCATTCTGCTTTTATTATCAATCTCTAAAATTACAACATTACTGAATTGCAAGAAGATTAACAACAATGAAAAAAAATGATAACAATATATACAAAAAAACTGTTTGGTGGGCCCATATATAATCATCTGCCTATATGGTCATAATGTAGCATCATAATGATCATATTTTTGCATGTCACATTCCAAAAATTTGAATTTCTAGATTAATGTATTAGGTCAGCACACAGGCCTATAAATACAGTACTGTATTAAACTTTTAACACTTTTTTTCACAGTAAACATACTTTAAGTGTGCTTTTCTTTACACTGATATCAGACAAACTCCAAAGCACTCAGCCACCTGTGCAGCACTCAAATTCCAAATGGACACCGCAACAAGGACTCCGACACTTGCCGATTTCGGCATCAGTCGACAAACACTGGATTTCTTGGCTAAGCAAAACATGGCCTCTCAAAGGAAAATAAAGATAAAAAAGGTTGACTTAGCTGGGTAAGTCATTGAACACTGAGTACAATGTACAGTACTTGCACTGCAGCTAAATGCACACAGAATCACAACCATGCTCATCGATTACAAAGTGAATCACAAAAGACAATCTCACTTAGTGATGTAATAAAAAAAATATAATTTTTAATATTATATAATTGGTACAGAGAGACTGAAGTACATAATAAAAATTACATTACTTAATGTACACATGTGGGAAAATTGTTTACTACCACGTATGACACTTGTACTAAAATCTGAAATATGACTGACGATTCCATATACTATTAAATAAAACTAAAGTATTACAGGGACTGTAATACTAAAGTATTACAAGACCTGAGCGGCTTAGCTCAGTCGGCTAAACTGGTAGTAGGCACTGTGTGTGCGCTGAACCGTGGAGATCTATTGGTCCCCGGTTAAATTTCCATCGCTGCTCTCCTTGTATTTCAGCTAAAGGGCTGAATTGCAAGTTACGATAGCGCACCGTCTTTTGGATGAGACATTTAAGCCATTGGTCCCATGTGCATTTATGGCCCATGTGCACGT